ATGATAAACTGTAACAAAAGTAAAGTTTATTATGTTGCGACTATGGAAGGACTTTGTCTTGTAACCTGTGGGTTGCCAGTTCAAACCCCCGCTCATAAGTCTGTGAATGTGTGAATAACTAAATGTAGTGTGAAGCGTTTCAAGTGCTCTAAACTTAAAGCACGATGCACATTATGCAAGTACAGGCTGTTTTCCTCTTAAGTCTTTTGGTGAAATAGAGCAGACAGCTACTTTAATTCCTTAAGATGCCCAAGTTTTGATCATTTTTCTGTCTGCAGCAGACGTTTTCTACTTGAATTTAGCTTTGCTTCCTTTTTAGCAATTTATCATCAGTATGCATGTTAAAAATGGTCATTACATTGAATTGTGTTAAATGCAACTGTGTAACTGTTTTAACTGTAACTGTGTTAAATGTAACTCACAATTTCCCTCACAATTTTCTTTATTATGACAAACATTGGCACTAAATGGACAAACCCATGTGGGCCACCANGTTTCACTTCACTTGAGGTAAGACTTAATATCAGTGACTCTGTTAGCACAGCTTTTGACACTCTAATAACACTGACTGACATATTTATAATTGTTGCTACTAGTTTCACTTTACTTCAGGGTAAGAGTTAATATTAATGACACTGTAATGACACTTAATGACATCTTCATAACTGGTGCTCCTTGTTCCCCTTGATGTAAAATGAGTTATTAATGACTGGTATTAAATCATTTGAGAGTGTAAAAGTTTAATGAAATCTCTATTGTTGGTCCTACTTGTTTCGCTCTATTTCAGGTAGGGGAAATATTAACTACTGTTTTGTTAGTGTTTTGTTTGATAGTATAATAATACTTAATGACATTATGACTACTATTATGACATATTTATGACATAATGATTCTTGGTTAATGTCAAGTTGTCATAACAAAGACAATTTGAATAATGTCAACTTTGTATTAAAAGTGTTTTACCGAATGACACTTTGACAACAGTCATAAATATTTATGAAGACTTACTCATGTTCATGACAGGTATTATGTCATGTTTATGACTCTGTCATGAGTCTTATTCACACCCCATCAAATAAAGAGTTACCCTCTTGTCTTTTCCAGCAGCCATTGTGCAGCACATACAGTGATAAAGCCAGATGACCAAATGTGCTGGGCTCTGCTGAGGTTGCTAGGTATCATGTTGAGCTCAACTGCGGTTGCTAGGTACTAGGCAACACCACATTATGACTCAGCATATGGGAAGTTTTTGAAACAGCTCATTTTGCAGACACTGAAAGACATTGTTATTCCCCAAAAAGCCTCAGTGTCTTTTCGAAGCATTTTTGCTGTTTTTAGACACAGTAGAGACAGAAAGAAAAACATAAAAATTTCCAAAATGGGACAGCTCTGCCAGGCAACAGTCTCTGATACGGTGGTCTTATCTAAGGGGAAGTCCTTGTCATCCCCCCGCACAACAAATGAACTCTCCTCTTGCCCAGTCTTCTCATTGAGTAAATTTGATCAATTGCATTGAGAGACCGTTTGACCAAATCCATATTTTGTAGTTTCAGAGAATATACAAAGAGAAGCTCCAGAAAGTAGCACACAGACAGAACAAGCAGGGCAAATATGGGAGCAGAGGAAAGAGGTCCAAAGACCTAGAGTCAATGCACATCTTCAGTTATTGCAGCTAAAACTAGTGATCAGGCCTGAAATCTGGGTGCAGCGATGGACTCTGACGTGAACATTCAGAACCACATAAAAAAGCTACAAAGTCGGCCTTCTGCCTGACATGAAGCAGGAGAGACACAGTCTAATTTAATGGGCAAAATCAGAGGAAAAACAAAGCTTTTAGGTCTCAGCAAACTATAACTTAAGTTTGTTGAACTTTAGAAATTACTTCTAGATCCTGCTTCTGCCAAAGATATGCAGAGATGTAGGTTTTGTAAACATGTTATATAAAAGTTCACATATTAAGCTTTTACTTCCAGAAATCATTGACGTACTTGCTGAAGTTTAAATCCATCTTCAAATTATCTTCACACACTTCATCAGCTCCTCATCTGATCTCAAAGCCAAGCTGTGGATGACAGTAAACTATTCAGCAGATCAGTTTTTGAAATTACTTTGTGATGTAGTTCTACATTAATGTTTTGTATGAAACGGTTATAGCAGTAACTCATCAAATGTAATGGAAAGGTTAAAGCTCAGTAAAGATCTTTCTGTTCAGATTCAGGATGTACAGGATTTACTCACAGGATGAAATGTTGTGGTTTTAACCTGTGGAGAAAGGCTTGGTCTGGGGTTTGAGCCAGAAGACAAACCATCAAACATGAATCTGAGCTCATTATTGAGTGGGTTGAGAGCATCTTCTGGACAAGACTGGAGGACATTGAGATAGAAAGATGATTAATTAAAAAACTGTTGAATATTATATAGTTGTATAAGATTACTGTAACGGTTTCATTAGGATTTACCTCAATAAAAAAGTCCACATCAGTGCATTCTTTTGTATTTAAATTAAGATTAAGTGATCCACTCTTGTGCCTCACATCCTTGCTGATCTCAGCTCGGTTGTTTGGTATCTTACGATTTGCGTCCAAAGTTAAAGTGAAATTAACCTGTGCTTGAGCTGCAAGATGTGTTTTGTTTGATAAAAGTTCTTAAATAAAATAATAGACAAATAGAAAAACTAAAGTAAGAAATGTACCTTCATTCACATTGGACAGTTTGCTCATAGTAAAGCAGAGAGTAGCATTGCTTGGCAGTGGTTTTGAACAGTCTGGGTTTTGAGTTGGGATCAGATCTGGGTCGAACGACACAGTGGCAGTCACTGTTACAACTGGTCTGGATCTAGAAACAGAAAAGGCCATGTTGTTTGTTTTGAGATTGTGAAGCAATTAGCACATTTATCGCATGAACATATTTAGGTTGCAAATGAAGAAGAATAATTTGAATTACAGAAGATGTGTGTTAATAAACAACAATGGAGACATACCTGAGTATGACAACTTTTCCCTTTGAACCCACTGCTAAGTCAGGAAGTCCATCACCACTCTGATCGTAGGAAGACTGACTGATTGAGATGCCAAATGACTTCAGGCCTGATTGGACTGCAGATGCAGCAATTCTCTGTGTAATGAGAAACATCTTGCTTTATCACGATCATCCATCTATTTTTTATACCAGCTTGTCTGTGCAGAGTCAAAGGATGGCTGGGGGTAAAGGTCACCAGCAGACCCCCCATTAGGAGTGGGCTGGTGCATTAGGACTTAACCTAATGCAACCATTAGGTAAGACATAATGGACACAATTCTTAGTGCAATTGAGAGTAACCAATAAACCTAACAATCATGATTTTGGACTATCGGAGGAAACCAGAGTACCTGGAGAAAACTTACAGAATAATATGAAGAACAAGTAAACTCTATTCAATAGTGACCCTACCAACTGTGAAGGTTCAACTCATGTTGAAAAACAAAACATTTAATGTTTTGTGTTTTGCTCACCTGTGAGTAAGTAGGATTTATTTTTCCTCTTCCTTCTCCTCGGAATATGTAGATGCTGCCTTGGCCATCATTCTCCAAAGGAGCTCCAACGGCCAAATCATTGAATTTATCTGCATTTATATCAGGCAGAACAGCAAGAGACGACCCAAACCTCCCTCTGACGGACACATCACCTCTTAGTGCGGTTATTTGTGACGGATTATCAAAATAACAAACCACACTCTGGAAAAATGAGAAGAGAAAAACTTAAATGTGTTTTTCCAACCTTTAGCAGAACTTGACATGAGAAAAACTTTATTTATGCCAAAACTTAACAGGAGGTTAAATAAATCAACATAAATAACTCGACATTTACCAAACGACTTAATTCACAGACATAAACACGTCCTTCTCTATCAACGTCTTTGTACATCGGAGAGGATATGAGGATTAGATCAGTCACACCATCAGAATCCACATCCATGGCACAAACCTCAGCCCCAAAATATTCACCAGTCTGTGAAAAAACAAGTGCTTATGTGACACAAATATATTCCTCATCAGAATTTGTGTAAAACTGAGCAGATTAAGTAGCACACATGGTACGATGCTATTTGCCATTGTTTTTGTTGTTATCCATCTATGTATGCGTAGATCGCTCCATGCATTCAGAGCATATGCAGCTGGATCCCAACAAAAATAATACCAGAGGAAAAACGTATAATAAATATACATTACTGATTATATTTACACACACACTCAATAAAAAGTTCCTTTTATTCAATCAACTGTTCTTACCTGTGATTCAAAGGGTCTGATTTGATCTCTCAGTTGTTCATTGAAAGCTGTCATAACAACTCCTTTGTGTTGATTTCTTGGAGCACCAAGAATTGTCAGAGGACCATCATTTGTTTTAGCAACAGCCATGGAATAACCTGGAGTTCAATGGTTAAATAGTCAGAGACATCAGGGATTATAGTGTTGGACAGTTAGATTCTGATTAACAAACATAGCAGATCTCTGGGTCAATGATATGGTGCAGATTAAAATCCCTACAAGACATTTTCAGATTTTTGTCCTGGTCTTACCAAGGTAACTGTTAGGCTCAATGGACATTGGCTCAAATGAGACTGGTTTTAAATCAGCACCAAGTTGGTATTTCTTGTAGCCTCCTCTCCACTTGTCAGTACCAACTACAGTCATCTGAATATACTGCAATGAAAGAACAGAGAGATCATTTTATTTGTATTCATTTGTATTCAATGTACCAGGACAGGGAGTTGGAGTTAACTCCCCCCTGACCTAGCTTGTAGTAGTAGTATTCCAACAGATCCAGGTTTTCACCTCTCGCCCACTTCCGTCTTGTTCCAGTAGCCCATTTTTCATCAAGGTGCTCTGGTTCCCCAGCACTAGACCTTGTTTTGCTGGGTGACGTCTGAGCAGGCATATCGTGCATATCAATGTCTCTCATGCTATGAGGTAGGCAGTCTTACCTAGACTCAATGGGAGAGTCTAGTGACTTACCCATTGAGCTATCCAGTCAGCTTAAGTACCTGGGAATACCACAAGCAAATGGCAACCTTGATGAGGTCACAAGGAAAGGAGCCGTAAGGAAGGAGGCAGAGGACTAGTGAGTGTGAGAGCCACTGTCCAGGATGAAACATCCAAGATCCATAAATACATCAAGGACAAAGCCTCAACGGACGATGTGCTCAGCGAATGTCTCAGGCAATGGGGAACAGAGGACAAGGAACCATCATGGGAGGACAAGCCCCTACATGGGATGTACCACCGACTAGGGGTACACCCCATGTAGGGGCTTGT